TCCCACCACAGAAACAGGCCTCGAGGGGCTCCCAAGCGGGCTCTCAACCTTCAACCCAAGCATATCCTCCATACTCAGCGGCACCCTTGCCTCCTCATACTCCACCTTCGAAACCCCCCCCATATACACCACCGACGACCTTGGGTATTTAATTTCCGATGGAAGGGATGGCGAGGAGGGAGGGAAAGTCATATTGTAGTTATCTGGGTCGTGGATCTCGCCTGTTCGGAGGCCGAGGAAGTCCGTCATGGAGAGTGGGCGACGGCGTTCTTCGTAATCAGGGTCCATTGCTGGAAGGTTTTCGGGGCCCTGGGCCTAGGATGAAGTCGGAATCGGCGTTGATTTGAAGTATAAAGTCGTATAGTGTCTTGAGTGTCTGTTATGGCCGCTTTGTAGTGGTGATGTATCCGGACCCGAGGTTCCTGAGCAAGGTATGGTTGTTTCTGGCTTAGGTAGTTGCTGTGTAACTTCCAGGCCACTTCCGAATTCGGCTTCTTCCTTCACAACTAAGAAGTTGGTTTTTCTTTTCCTTGGAAGCCTCTGCAGTAGCCTTGTCACCTCCACTCTTTCTCCTGGATTCGTATTCGCTGAGTGTTCCGTGTCGAAAATACGTATCGTATGTTGATGTCGACCTCTCGAGGTATGTCGTTGTAACTCCGCAGCCGTAGACAGATTCCTTCAAGGCCTTACTTATAGACCCGGATCAAGCAACTAGTATCTGGTGATCATGACACGACGATCATCATGGTACATACCTCTAACATGTCCTGTTGCCTTGAACGTAACTGGGGGATCCCCCATGGCTCATCCGCCACTTAAATCACCGCCAATGAGATGTAAGTGTCCTGCAGCGCTGGTACCTGCTCTGTCTGCACTCCATTGCAGACAGCCAAGATATTTCCAAGATAATTCGATATCGATATATCATGAAATCCAATATGCGCACGGCGTGATCCTCCGCGCTCGTTATTATATATATAATAATAATAAAATATTAATAATATTAATCGATAATTTATAAACACAAAACATTTTTTTCTCTGCAAAACAACGTTAACAGTCATGATCAATCAAGTAGATTACTGAACCCTAATTTTGAATATTAAAATAAATACTTCGCAGTGGTATGTGTGGATAGTACCACAAAAGGTAAGGGACGGGCAGACCTCCCTTCCATGGCCCCCTCCGGGGGGCACGAGATCAACGGCACTGCAGGGCGTGCGCGCCGACACTGCTTGGTTCGCTGATCCGTTTTAAATTTCCTGGAATTCCGGACGAATTCCATTTTATTATGATAAAAATGAGGGGTTGCCGAGATCTTTATATGGTCTATAATTTAAACTTTACTCTATAAGGTTAACTTGCAGACGTTTGATCAGCCAATATCCGAATAAGGTACATACCCACTTTCCAACCTCATACATGTACTTACCTCGTACTTGTTTGATGACAATGCGTTTCTCTTTCTCAAGTACCAAGTACTTTCCACTTTATCCTCCGGCCTATAATATACCTATAAAAACCTTATATATTAATAAAACCAAAAGGCCTAGGCACAAACGCCATGCATTGTTCCCAAGACTTCTAGATTAAATCCCAAGCTTTCGTCCCTTGCACAGAGCACACAACTACCTACCTTATCCTTCTACATGCATCAAACGCCCCATGGCCATATATATAGCCTCAAGCCTCCACAACGGCGCTCCGGATAGCAGTAGCTGGACAAACGGCCAAATAGCCAAGTGTCAAGAAGCTTTTGACATGATAAAGGCATGTACCTTGTCTCACAGGAAAAAAAAGGCTACCTTGACGAACGCCGGCACGCAATATATACCCCATAAGTGCCCAGCCGGCATTAGGATGTCGGTACATCAGAATATTAAAGTGTCCAGACGGATACGGGGAAGCCTCCGAATGTGTAGAGAAAAATGAATTCCGAATAATTGCGTTCTTGGCCTTTCACAACGAGAACAGCCCTGAACGAGACTCCCGGTACCTCTTGGCCCAAATCAAAGAATTCGAGGGGTTTTGGCATTCCCAGACCATATATGGAATTCGAGGTGAAGCGATGTGATGAATTTGTGTAACCGAAGCGAATTCATTCGTGGTGAGGATCCGCAGATATATATTGACTTCTGAAAAAAAAAGCTGGGAATGTCCGGATAGCAATTTATCTGTCATGATTTGTCAATCAGCCATGCATATCTGTCAAAGTACGGCAAGCACGGAATCGCAACTACAATGCAAAATTCACAAACGAACTGATAGGTATCATGAAGCTGAAGAGCAAGAGAAAAAGTCATATTTTCATAACCAGATATATATCGATACCCCAAAACCCAATGCAACCATGATCATGACCCAAAAACTAAAAAGTATAACCTAGCGTCCTCCAAAAGAAACCACCAAAGGAAAAGAGAGAAAAAAAAGAAAAGAAAAGAGACGTAAGAATAGGAATAAGAATTTATAAAAAAAAGTTTTTAAAAAGAAATAAAATATTTTGAAAACGTGGGGTAATTATCAATTGCAATTTAAGCCTTTGCCCTTGCCAAATGATCAGCAGAGAATCGAATAGCGCTTCGCTTTGTCATGGCTCCATTCACGCACTTTGTTCCTGGTGCAACAGCTCCCATGGCGACTGGAGTATTTTTGTCGCAGAGAGCCCAAGTTGTGGCAGTTAGGCAGATAATTTGTCCGTGAGTGCAAGTTCCGCCAGTGCCACCGAGAGGAACCTCGACAGCTACCTTTGGAAGGACAATTGGGGGGACAATTGGGATGACTGTCCCGGGCTTAGTGGTATCAACAATTTTATCAGCGCCTGTGCTATCTGTCTTAACAGTGCCTGTCTGAGGAGTCGTCTCAGTTTTGACTACAGAGACGACAGGAGGTGGAGGTGTGACAGGAGCCACTGGCTCGACCTGGGTCTTGACAGTGCCTGAAGTAGGGGGAGCAGCGGCGCCACATCCAGCTCCAATTGGTGCAGCGGCAGGAGGAGAAGATGGCTTGGTGACGACATTAGGGCCTGGGGCGGGGATCAAAGGATCAACGTTATCCACAGTCTTGCAGTCTCCTCCGATATTGGCAACAAGGATTGGGGGGAAGTTTGCGCCAGTAAGACCAGCACCACCACCAGTGATCTCAACAGATGCACAGTTCATGTACATCTCTCGGTTTCCGACCTTGTTGAACCAAGTCCAAGCAAAAAGGACTGGGCCATTCTTGGTCTCCTTGGGGACGACAATGTCGAAGGAGTTGGCGCCCTCAACTGGACATCCACCCTGGAAAGTCTTGATGGTCTTAAAAGTAGCACCACCATCTTCGGAGATGGAAGCCTGGCAAGATCCACCACCGTGAATAGCACTTCCGGTAAGTTCAAACTTTTGTGAGCTTCCAGCTGGCCATGTGGCTACTGGAGTCATTGCAGCACCCGTAAGCTTGTGGTAACCCTTGCAGATTTGCGAGATGGGAGACAAGTAATCGGTATCTTTCTGGACTGCAAACTTGTTGAGTGGGTGGTTGATTGGTGGGGGGTTGACCAAGGCGATGTGGGCTTGGACAGCTGGCATGGCGGCCAAAGCAACGAGAGTGGCGTAGGAGATAAAGCACTTCATCTTGATATTTAGGATGTTTGTTGGTTGGTTTGAGAAAAATGAAAATTATGCGATGGTCGTTAGAAAGGATGGACTATTGAAAATAATAATGAATGTAAGGCCTAGACGATTCTGGCAAATTCTAAGGAATGTGTGATATTCGATTGTAAATGGAAGGTAAAAAAATCGAAAGATCAGAAACAAAGGCAGACCAGCTACCAGAGAGAATGGAAGAGTGAGTTGTTGTTGGTGATCGTGGATGACGGTAAAAGAAAAAGGAGAGTAAAAACGGAAAGACTTTGGGTATATATATTATTCCGGACAGTCTACGATGCGGTGGAACAATCTCTTGCAATCCTGATGACGGTGCTGTCCGGCGACAGGAAACTACCACCGATGGAGTAAGCCTTCAGTTTGGTGCTATGAGAATCCCTGTATTCCCGATCAGCAACAAAACGGCTTGTTTTGCAAAGGACCTTCCGGTGTTTGCTATTGTTCCATCGTGCTGACAGCATTGCTCCAGAATGCTTCGAACCCGGTCAAAAGGTCCGTAATGGCAGTTTGAGAACAGGCCGACGCCGCAGCTGCTGTGCATGCGGCGAATAAACGGGCGGTCTGTACCAAAGTTGATCATTATTGCCTATGCGGATGCTTTAGGCCTTCAGAGCTAGAGCATTGGAGCTTCGAGAAGCTTGCCAGGTTGACCTGTGACATTGTTAGCTGTTGGAGTTGATGGTGGTGAACCCAGTGGACATGGATGCGTGCGGGATCTGAGGCCGTGGGGATGGTGCTGGTGGAGGCTCGCCGCCAAGCCTCCACGGGTTAATGCTTATTTTGGAAACAGACAGCGCCCTACGTCTGACACCCTGATGAGGAAACACTGCAGTGGTGCACAGGATGATATATCGGCAACATGGTGCCTTGGGATGGGACCGTCCAGTCGCACCTTCAGCCGCAGCCTCCCTGTGGCGCCTACATGCAATGCGAATTCCCACAATCGCATGCCGAAGAGCGGTGCCCGCGCCATATATGCGATCACAAATCACTAGTCTCACACAAATCACCGAGAGAAATGTATTTCCGTATACTCACTTCTGACATGGCTCTTGTGAGTTTCTGCTGTAGGTGTAAAATTGGCTTTTCGCATTTGACCTCATGGAACGTCATGTGACAATTTAAAATCAAAAGGTAATCAAAATACCTAAGGTAAGTAGATATTTGAACCAGTACCAAGAATCAGCCTCGAACTGTTCCGTCTCAAGCAAAAGATAGAGAGGCCTTTCATAATGCTCGAACCTCACCATATGCCAACACAAAATATGCACACCCTATAGCTGCAGCCTACATGTAGGTACCTAAGGTAAGTGAAAACAATTCAAAATAAAAAAAATGTAATTGGCAAAAAGGAATGGGCTCCATCGGGAATTGAACCCGAGACCTCTCGCACCCAAAGCGAGAATCATACGACTAGACCATAGAGCCACCATGTTTGATGGATGGGAATTCGTATAGCGCCCTATGGTCCTGTGCAGCATGATTCTCAGAATCGATCCATTAGACCCCAACACCCATTTCAGATGCGACCTTAGGCACGCTTGCAAAGGAATCGTTATCTTGCCCAATCAGGGGGACGAGGCTACCCAATTAGATACATGTACACGAGTGCAGATTACGTAGTCTCGTGCCGACCCGTCTCGTGCCCAAATTACTGTTTTCTATTCTATTCTCATACCCACTGTTTTCTACTCGAGGAGGTGTACCTTAATTCGTATCAATATCAATACATTGCAATCAAGTACTCTGCAATCGTCGCATCCCAGCCCAATTCTCAATTCCAGCAGCCCGTGCCACGGTTCGCGTTACGTCGCATCGAGTGATTGATTGGGAATGCCAGATACGCCTCATCCAGTAGAGTATAACTTACTTAGAAAGTGGGATGATTGGGTCAGAGGTGATCTATTCATGTGTATAGGGTGCATACACCAGAGTACGAAGTCTGCTAAATCAACATCGATAGAATCCAAAAATAGTAGCCTGGAGTGATATGAAATCTGCTTAAATTACCCTTATCGGTAATATCATGGTCAGTCAAGCAGTAATCTTGCAATTGAGTGACGAATTTTTGTAGAAATTTATCATGATACCATGGAATATATGCATACAAAAGTAAGAAGATGAATAATTAAAGACATTTTTATCATAACGGCATGAAGGTTCCGTACCAGGAGGTACTTCTCGTGTATTTTTTGTAATCGCTTTATGCACCGATGTTCAAACCAGAAAAACCAAAACTGAAGAAATCGAAAAAAAAAAAACCAATAGTAATCCGAAAAAAACATTTTTTTGAAATCTCCATGATATCGATCTTTCAAGCATACACCACTGCGCCGAGCTCTCTCCTCGGTGTCACAGGCCGGTTACTCCACAAATCCTCCTCCTCCCCCTCATCAATCCTCGCCTGCGCAGCATTCGGCGGAAGAAACGCGCCTGGAGGCAATTGCTCCCCCGCGACAAAACTCCCCGCGGTCGACAACGTCCTCTCCGGCCTCCTCGGGCTATACGGCGGTAACGTCGTCCCCCCCGACGCCACACTGGGCTCCCCTCTCTGTCTAAACACCCCTCCACCCGCAATCCTCAACCTCTCTCTCGTCCCCTCGCTCATCTGCGATCTCCCGCTCCCTCCACTCGACCCACTACTAATCCCGAGCCAATTCAGCGTCTGGAGAGCCCAGGTATTTGGTTGCGCTGCTGCATCGTTGACGGCCCTGGCGTGCACTCGCCGCTGGTAGTATGTCGCGAGGACGACGATCGAGCAGGCCACGGTGATGAGGAACGAGTATGTTATCCCGATGACTTGTGAGGAGAAGGGCGAGATTATGATGAGGACGATGTGGGCGATGAAGATGATGAAGGAGGAGATTAGGCCGATGATGGCCCATGCCGGTGGGGTGGAGTGGTGGTGATGGAGTTCCGGCATGGCGCCTCGCTCGCTCGCTCGCTCGCTCACTTTTCTTTCGTTCTTTCGTTCTTTTATTTTGGTGGTTGCTCGCGCTTCGCTCTGGATCGGATCAATCAAGAAGCACCGGAAAAGTATGGGTTCGTTATTATATTCCGGTGGAAAAAACCTCAAATGCCGATTGGTAGGTAGGGAGCTCGTGCAAGAGTACCGGAAATAGAGATATAGGATTAGAGTATTGATGACCTGAGCTTTGACGTGACAAGTCAGATAAAAAAAAAAAAAAAGCTCGTGATAGTTGGGGGAAATGATTAGTAGTTGAACAGAGCCGCTGCAAGTAAGAATGAATGGTCGATGTCGATGTCGATGTCTCAGGAAGCCTGCGCTGCCAGCAAAATCAAAGTCAAGTCAATTCAAGGTCAGCCTCCCTCGCGGCTGGCGGGTTCCCTGGATCCCAATTGGAGCCGTCCCGTATCGATCGCGAGCCCTGTAACAAATCAAGCCAATCCCGCCCCTAGGCCTGCAGCTCCCCTGGGATTCGGTGAGCCCTACGGACGAAGTTCCATGAAATTTCTCCTCTTTCTCTGCAGGGATAAAGATGAGTGGATATAAAGTGGTAGAGTAGCGAGAGGTTGATACTCTGAGCTTAGCAGGGGCTAAATTGTACTCGTCAACTGATTGCGTATCCGGACAGAATTTTTTGGAATTTGCTGGTGGGCTAACCCAATCTAAAAATGCCTTGTGCGGAAACGCAATGAGACGACGAGTACTCCGTAGTTCCGGGCCACCGTCGGCGCTGACACGGCACGAGTCTATGCTGACTTTTGTGAGCAGGGTGCAGAACAGGATTGGAGGTGGCCAGGTCCAGTCAGTCAAAAAAAGGTAGGGTATGCAGCTGCAGGACGCGCGACTCGCTGCACTGCCGTGTCCAGCCAAGCGTGTCATGATTTCATTACCCGATCGGGTTACCGTGAAGGGGTGCTTGTGCTTCCCTTCTTGACAAGCACAAATTCAAATGTAATTTATAAATTCAAAAATAAACCCCCCAATCTAACTACCAGTACACACAGTGTAGCCTTAAATCCAATATATCGCCCCCAAGAAATGACGACATATTCAAAACCCCCCTACAGGCGAGATCACCCTACAGGGCGGGAACACTATCATCCTCATACCACGAAACACTATCATACTCATACCATCCACCATGTCCATGGCCGCCAGCGTCCCGCATATCCACATCCGACCCCCTCGCACTCGTCACATACCTCTCCTCATGCTCCTCACTTTCATAACTCGCCAAACTCTCCACCTCAGCACACTCCTCATACGCATACCCATCCTCATAGTCCTCACTATCTGAGCTCTCGGGGCTAACCACCGGAGTTCCTTCTTCTTCTTCTTCTTCTTCCTGCTGTCTTCCACGGCAATAGTCATATACATCGTCTTCGTCGTCATGTTCCTCATCTTCATCGGACGATGAAGCGGAATCACTACTATCAGAGCTATACGTAGCTGCGGCGTGCGTTTCGTCGAGAAATTGGAGCTGATCGGGCGCGTAGTCGTCAGGATTGCCATTACCATTACCTTTACCATCATCATCTTCTTCAGAATCCGACACTTCTGCAGTTTCATCAATTTCAGACGAATCAGAGTAATCACTATATGCGGGGGAGCTGTGTATAGATATAGGTTTCGCAGGGTGATGAATTTGAGGTTGAGGTTGAGGTTGGAGTTGAGGTGGCTTACTGGGTTTGTATTTGTATTGGGACTGTTGGGGATTTGGGGCTGTATATCCGTAGCTGCTTTGCTGCTTCTTGCTCGAACTGTATTGAGTTGCCGGGGGAGCTCGAGTAGAAGGAGGAGCGGGTTGGTCTTGGGTTAATCCAACAGCATCGAAATCCTCATAGGATACGCCGGGGCCGTCGTCGCCATCGGAATAGTCGCTTTCAGCATTATTATTATTATTATTGTTCTGATCCCAGCTCCCGTACGCAGGAGGGGGTTCGTCGATTCCTGCTTCAGGGTCCATGGGTCTAAAAATCAATCAGCATCGCAGCATTTGTAAGGGATGTGTATATGCCTTGGAGATATATATGAGGTATGTATAATTCATGAAGGAAAAGATACTCACGGCGGCTGATACGCTCGCTGTTCCTCATGATTATGACCTGCCTGGAAGAACCCCTGTGGTCTTCCTGAACAGCACGCAAATCCTTGCGGAGATGGGTTTCGTGGTTCATAATTTCCCATATTCCTACCACTTCCACTTGCGCCGGGATTAAACGGCCTACCACGCCGAGCTGTTTGCCTGGGCCTGGGCATAGGAGCTCGCTGTGATGGTGGTGACGCAGAGCGAGAGACGGCACGATCCTCCCTCGCCTGGCGAACATTGCCACCGCTTCCCAACCAGCGCTCTAGCATTGGTGTATTGGACGGCATTGGTGTATTGGACGCAGAGGGCTTCGGAGGTGTCTGCCATTGCTGAGGAGGTTGTTCTTTGCGCAGATACGTTGGTAGCGGGCCTTGTGTGGAAGTAGAGTTAAATGAGTTTTTGAACTCTGCTTGCTGGCGGAGAATCTCTTGCTGCGTCAATCCAGGCCCAAGATCCTTCGGCCTTTTCTCTGTATTGTTTTTTGGAATACCATCATCAGTGAATGAATTCAAACCAAACACACTAAGTTTGAGGTACAAAGATCTTGCTGCAAAGTACTTGAGGTATCATATTTTCTCGAGCTAAATACATATAAAAAGCAAACCCACAATTGCACAAAAGAAAGGTTTAACAAATTCAGGGCACGCCTAGGGAGACGTACGCATATCTTCGAAATTGAATCGATTGCCCCATTCCTGCTTGACCTCCTTCTTCGTCTCCTTCTTAGGCTTAGGCTTCGTAACTCCGGCGCTCTTCGCCGCAGTCAACGGGTCTTTGGCAGCAGCTGCTGCCTTTGGACCCTTCTTTGCGGCGGAGCTCAACGCCCCAGCACCAGAGCCACTCTTCGAAGCTGCAGCAGTAGCACTTGCACTCTTCTTGGACGTGGTGGTAACCGTCGTGGTAATCGTGGTAATCGTCTCCTCGGCGCCTGCTGCCCCGTCGGCCTTTTTAGCTCTGGGTTTCTTGACAGCCGCCTCGGTCTTCTTACCCTCAACCTTCTTACTTTCCACCTTTTTAACCTCAACCTTTTTGGGCTCGGCCTGGGCCTTAGCACTCGCAGCCTTCTTTTTAGCTGCTGGCTCTGGTGCAGCTTCCACAGCTTTCCCCTTCCCCTTCGCTGCCTTCGCTGCCTTCGGCTTCTCCTCCTTCGCTGCCTTCGGCTTCTCCTCCTTCGCTGCCTTCGGCTTCTCCTCCTTCGCAGTCGTCAACTCCCGAACCTGCGCATTCAACTTCCTAAACTCCCCGTTCTTCTTATACTCCAAATCAATCAACTCTGCCGGAACCGTAAGCCCCCACTGCCCCATCTTCCCTGCAGGCCCACTCCTTAACTCCTCCTCGATCTTGGTCCTCATCCGCTCGACGGTGGTGGAG